CTTCATCCTTCTCACGCGCACACGCGCGTGCCCCTGGGAAAACGTGGCGTTGGTTTCTGGGTGTGAAAAACGCCCAGCGACACCGTCATCTTGTCTGCTCTGTTCGCCTTGTTCCTTAAACCCGAGGTCGCTGTCTTACCTGTGTCGCCAATTATAGATGGAGGCAGCGCGAACCAACAGCCATGGGCACGTCCACTCCAAACGTGGGCAGAGGGACCGAGGAGCTGAATTTTTAATTTTATCTCATTTCCGTTCATTTAGATTTCAGTAGCCACGTGTGGCTGGTGGCTGCCGTGTTGGGCAGTGAGCACAGACCTAGATCACTTTTTTTATTACTTTTTAATGTTTTATTATGCAAAGATTTCAAACAAGCACAAAAAAGAGGCTGGTATGTGGATTTCCGTAGTCACCCTCCAGCTTTAATAATTTCCACTCTGCCGCTTGCTCGTTTCTCAATTCTTTCTTGTAGCTGCTGTGCAGTATTTTCTTGCAAAAAAAAAAAAAAAGTATCCTTTTGCTAGATAGGTGTTTATGTCGTTTCTGATTTTCTGCTAAAACACATAGGAGAGTGAGCACCTGCCTCTCTCCTGGTGCTTGTGGTTATGTGCGTCTCTGCATGTGTGTCTGTGTGTATCTGTGTATACGTATCTGCAGCCGCCTGTTTGTGTGCATAGTCATGTGGATGTCAGTGTGCGCACAAGCAAAAGTATCCTTTTGCTAGATAGGTGTTTATGTCGTTTCTGATTTTCTGCTAAAACACATAGGAGAGTGAGCACCTGCCTCTCTCCTGGTGCTTGTGGTTATGTGCGTCTCTGCATGTGTGTCTGTGTGTATCTGTGTATACGTATCTGCAGCCGCCTGTTTGTGTGCACAGTCATGTGGATGTCAGTGTGTGCACCAGCACGAGTGAGTGTGTGTGTGTGTGTGTGTGCGTGTGCGTGCCTCTAGGGCAGAAGCTTAGCGGTGGGTCATGGGGCGGCTGCATTTTCTGCCTTCATAACTGCCAGCTGCCCCGGCCCTTCACGTTCATAAGCAGTGAAGCCATCACAGCATCGAAACGCAGTCCGGGCCCTCGAGATGCTCAGCAATGACCGCGCCACCGTCCTCGGTGCGGGATGCTTGCGCCGTTCCCCGGGGTACGCAGGCCCTGGGCGTCCTGGACCCAGGGCGAGACAGAGGCGAGTCGGGTTAATGACACAAAGGCCTCCATCCCCCTAGTCTTTCTGTCACCCCTAAACTTCTCTCTCCAGCCCCTGGAGACGTCTGTCGGTCCCCTCCCCCGTCCTCGTCTCGGCGGGGCAGGGGACCGTTGGTGTGTTGAGAGGTCACTTGAATGAGTTTTTCCAGCCGAGTACTTTCCCATAAAGACGCAGTCAATGCGGGCAGGAATGAGAAGCTGGGGACGGAGGGGCTGAGCCACGGTGCTCTCCCTGCAGCTCGCGAAGGTCTGCTCCGCTTCGAGGAGCCCCGAAATTGTAGCTGCTCTTTCTTAACCGAGAAATACCTCGAAATGGGGATGTTGATGGATTATCTAAGTAACTGTGCTTTTAAGCCATTGAGGGAACTGGCATCGGCTTTGCTGGGGTACTGTGACCGATGGCTAACACCAGCGGGGGAGGGGCGGGCAGCCGAGCGGCTCGGTTTAAAAAAATTCTTTTCAAAAGAAAGACGACATTTTTCAAAATGCTGCAAGACAAAAGGAGGCAGTCAGGTTCTGGACAAGGGGACAAGGGGAGAACCCAGTGAGCGACCTAAATCGTTAGCAGAGAGACGCAGGGGAGTCTGGCATCTCCTCCTCTGCAGGCGGAGGGAATTCTGACTCGGCGGAGTCACGCGGTTGGTCTCGGGTGGCCGGGCACAGGCTCAAGTCGAGGGACGTGATAGGAGCAGGGCCCGCTGCCCCCCCCCACAAGACATTGTGGGGTGCAGGGCAGCACACGCTGGGATCTGGACCCGCCTTCGGCAGCGACCTGGCCTCGACGACACGTCAGGCGGCACTTCCCTGTTCCCTCTCCATCAAGTGACAAGGTCGTGAGCTTCTCGGGACCCCAGTCAGGGACGAGAGGGGGGCTCGTGTCAAAGGCCAGGCACCAGTCCCTGTGATTCCGAGGGAGGCTGGCCGGGTGACCCGGCGACCGAGGGCCTGCCCCCACGTTCCTGCATCCCGAGTCCCAGCACGGGGTCCCCCGGGGCCTCCTGAAGTCAGAGCTGGTGTGTGTGGGGGGGTGTCTTTCTTTCTGTGGATCCATCTCATTCAGTTCTGATGTTTTTCACACATTTCTAGGGACTTTCGGCCTCACTTAATTAGGCCCCATTTAGTAGGTGACTGTTTGGTCCCCCGAGGCATCCCCACCCCCGCTGGGGTGGCACCAAAGGGGGGCTTGGTGAGGGGACATTACCTGCCTCCCCTCCCCAGTGACGACCTAGCAACCTTTTCTCTTTGTGGAGATACAGCTGACATACAGTGTATCCGTTTCAGGCGTGCATCGTCACGATTCGATATGTGTATCTATTTGCAAAGCGATCTCCATCTCCATGCCGTACAGCCCTCACACGCGTGCACTTGTTTTTCTTGTGACGAAGTCGTCTATAGCCAGTCAGTGCCAGGCAGGCAGGCCAGTCTGGCATTGCCCCAAATTCCAATTTCTCAAAAGAAACTAAGAATCTAAATGTCTGTGTGCTCTCTCTGATTTCAGTGAATTGGCGACCCTCCCTCCCTCCCTCCTTTCCTTCCTTCCTTCCTTTCCTTCCCTCTCTCCCTCTCCCTCTCTTCTTTCTTCCACACATTCACACATTCATGCATGCAGTCATTTGATAATCGTGAATACCTATCATATACCAGGCACTTGTTTTGTCTTTCTTTCCCTTAAACACTGTGCAGTGCAGTAAACCTGTCTGAGGGCCATTGCGGCCCCATGTGTGTCCAGTTTGAGACCCTTTCACTACAGAAGCTCCCTCGTGGCCCCAACCAGCCTCTCTGTGGGCGATGCACTCACTCCTTGTGGGAGAGCCACGTCTAAGGTGTCCCCGGGGCCTCGTCATTACTGCCGCAAGGCTGCTTTGGGCCGCCCTGGAGGGAGGTTTGATGCCCCAGCAGGCCGAGCCTGGACTCGCCCCGGCGAGACTGCCCGCCTTCCCTCCTCCCGCGTCCATGCCTGCGCATTCTGCTGTTTCTTTCTGTCGCCCTGGTTTTGAAGCAATAACTCGTTTCCACTTTTTCATAGAGTGTTGGCTTCATGTGTAGCTTGAGGAAAACAGTGGCAGCTGCCCCAAACACATCCCAGACACTGAATTCTCAGGAGGCAGCTCTAGAAACGTCCATACAGGCAGCCAGAAGGGTGTGACATAAGGGACGCCGTCAGGCTCAGTGGCCGCCGCGGGACTCCTGACCTCCGGGAACGGGCAGCCTGTGGCTCACAGGGCACTTACTCATTTACTTCACTCATTCACCCATTCGTTCATTTACATCACAAACACTTAATGAGTGTTCGCAGGTTCAACTGACCTGGGCGTTGGAGACAGAGAAGGTAAAGCCTCGTTCGTGGCTTTCCCTGTCCAGTAGGAAAAAAGAGACACTAAGCAAAGAAACCAACAAATACACAGAAATCGTTTTGGGGAGAGGGAGGAGAGTGGGGAAGACAGTGAAACGGGGTGCGCTGACGGGGACCAAGGCAGGTCCTCATGGAGTCAGACACCCTCCAGCCGTGCACGGTTTCATGTCGTCTGAAGCCACGTCCTGCCCTCTCGATGTGGGTTCTCGGCTCCTGCAGGTGGGTCTTAAAGAGGGAGCCTTGCCCAGCAGCGGCATCACCAGGGAGCCTGTTAGAGATGCAGGCTCCCCACCCTGTCCCCCAACTCTGGGGGAGGGTCAGTGACGACACACCTTCTGGGTGACTCGATGTGCATATGTCACAGACACACACACACACACACACGCACACACATGCATGTAGTGAGTAGTGCTGTGATTCATTTTGTTCTCATTATTTTAACAATTGTTACATGTATTGATATTTACTGATTTTTATCGATATTGACAGTTACCATTTTTGACATAAGTATTTGAACATAATGACGTGCTACTTCTGTGACAATCATGTGATAATAATGCTAATTGTGTACTCAATATCCATTCTCCCCTCCTTCCTCACTTAGAGAATATTAGATTTGCCAGAGGTAGCAATGTCCCAGTTAAAAATAATCGTCTTCCCAGGTTTCCTCACAGCTATATAATTATGAACCATTATTGGCAAGAACACATAAGCTGAAGTTCACTGGGAGAGTCTTCTGGGAAAGTCAATGAAAAAAACGAATATTCAGTAATATGCTCACCTGGCACAGACATTCGCCCTTCATTCCTTCCTCCCTGGAACTCAAATGCAATGGCTGGATGGGTCGCAGCCATGTTGCAGTCATGAGCACGAACACCTGCATTAGAGGTGGCGGTGCAGAAAGATACGTGGAACCTACCTATGTCCTTCAGGATGTCACGGAGCCACCGCATAAGTCCTGGATGGCGTTCCTCTAAAGCTGCGTGGAAAGGGAAAAAAATCTGCAGCAAAATCTCATTCTAAGCAGTACTTCTGGCTATGTTTGTTTCTTTGTTTTTATATAAATGACGTCTTTCTGCATCTTGATTTTAACCTACTAATATGTCTCAGAGCTTCGTCTACGCTAGTGCACGCAGCGTCCCTTTTCCTCTGCTGCCTAATAATAAGGAAAATTAATAGCTAATGGATTTGAGCGCCTACTGTGTGCCAGGCACCACGCCGAGCTCTCTACGGTAGTAAGCTTTTCCATCTTCCAAAGCAGTCCCATGAGGAGCGTGCTGGTGTGAGCTCATCGTACAGATGGGAACAGCGAGGCGCAGGACGGAGTACCCGGCCAGCATCCCAGCTCAGAAGTGGGGAAGAGCCGAGGG